ACATGGCGAGCGAACGTTGGGGCACTCATACAACAGTGAGCTAGGCTGCTTTCCTTTCCAGACTCATGATAGAGGCGGAATTTCTTCTTACCTCCTTGCGGACTTGGAAGCCAACATTCATGTTCCCTTAACTTTAGATCCGCATGTGCAGCCTCACCCCAATCCATTCCTAGCAACACATCAAAGGGCAAGTTATCCTCCACCAAGAAGGTCAGAGAGTGGAGAACGCGTTCCACCTTTCCCTCTGCCTCTAGCCGAAAGTATACTTGTACTCCCTCGATGTATCGATCCATGACAGTTTCACTACGATTCGCCAACTTACTTACAATGGGCTCATCAAACTTCTTAACCTTAAGCCCAAGACGCAGCTTCTGCAAACCTCTTTTACTAATATAACTGCGTGTAGACCCGCTGTCTATCATGCCTCCTACTCTTATTCGATTTATCTCTAGATCTGCAATTATTAGCTGTCCTTTTTTTTTACGCATTTCAGTCCAGGCTTGGCGACGAGCGGCCAACTCATCACCCAGGCCAGCGAGGGATCCATCTAGAGAGRTGCATACGTTTGCCACCTCTGGACAGTGCACTAGATGGGGACTTCCTTCCTCTTCAGTTTCTGCCATTGGGGCCTTCGAATGGGAGGATTCTGATTTTTCAACATTCGAAGCCCCGGTAGAGGCAACTGGCACCACTACTGGTTGTTCCCTTTTGCCCCCCTATAGTCAGGGCAATAGGGGACAATATGGACGGGGTCCCCACATTTGAAGCATTGATCTGCCTTCTTCCTTTCGGCCTAAACTTTTTCTATAATTCCCAACTCTTTCCAAGGCTCTCCTTCTGGTAGGCCTGGATGTGGTGGGTACGGCTTATCCCACTTGTTGTACCATGAGCCTCTTCCTCTACCCCAGGTGGAGTAAGAACCACGACCACCGTTTGAGGGACCATTTCCCCTTCCTCCCACGTAGTGGCTTCCTTCACCACCACCCCTCTGGGTGCCGAATYCTCGTCCACCACGGCCGCGACCTCTTCCTCGGCCACGCCCTCTTCCTTGACGCCCTCCCCCGCGGGCTGCAACAGCCGCGTAACTCCCCTCCTGAGCTACCGGACTGTTGGGTTCATCGAGACCATAGTCTACCTGATCCCAGGAGCTGGTCTCGGCGCCTCCTTCTTCAAAAGGTCAGAAGGAGACTATCTTTCCCAGGTATAGACCCTGAGATGGTGTGGTTTTGCCATCTCTTTCCCGCTTGCAGATCTTTCCAGTAATGGCAATAATTTGCTTCAGCGAGGCAGCCGGCATGATCTATGGCGATCTTGCCGAACTTCTCATATGTCATCCCCTTTTCTTTGGTGCGGGGATAAAGTTGCGTTCTCAGGGGATCCAGGAGTGCTCTTGCAAAACTGTTTAAGATTTGGGTCGGCGTCAACCCATGATCAGGGCATTGCAACAATAAATCCATAGTGGCCTGTAGTGCAGAAGTACTCTTCCATTTCCTATCAGGAAGGCTGAGGATCAACATTTCTGTGCGTCTTGCCAGGTTCTTGTCTTCAAATCTCTCTCTTACCGCTTTAAGGAAATCCTCAATACGCATTTGCTGCGAATATTCGACCATAGAGCTGCATCCCGCCTCTTTTTGCAGTGAGATGGCAAAGCTCATGGCGTCGCCTCCCATGCACAACGTTGCCATCAACACCCTGTCCCAGTATGGAATACGATGTCCGTACACGTAAGTTTCGATTGTTGCCGCCCAGTGTAACACACTTTCTTCTTTTTTTCCATTGTAGGTCCAGGGCAGTTTAAGTTTTATCTTGTTGACCTGACCGGTTTCCTGAGGAAGTTTTTCTTTCCGATCCCCAATCTTCCTCTTTCCTTTCTTATCATCATCGCCGTCGCCATCACCATGTCCTCCATCGTCTCCAACTCCCTTTACAATCCTCTCTACGACTTCCGGAGTGAATGTTTCAGTGACATGATCATCCAAAACCTGGATATATGTCTGAACATGATGGTCCACGTCCTTCGCGGACTTCTCTAAGAAGTTATTCCAGACATTTTCGAATTCCGCCCGCTGCGTTTCAACTCTTTGCAGGGTCTGACCCATTAAGTTCATATCTTGTCTTGTGTTAAGCACTGCTTCTCTGAGTAAAGCTAGTTGAACTTCAGTTGCAGAGGGGTCTTCCTTTTGGGCTTCTAGGGCCTTTTGCAGTCTTTCCCCTTCTGCCTGCAGTCTTTTCTTTTCATCAATTTCTTGTCTTCTAGTTGCTAGCAATTTACTGTGCAACTCAGCCCTTTTTTCTTCCATCATCAGGTTTCGCTCCACGGTATCTGTCACCGTGGCCAGCTTGACAATGAACACATCACGTTCTTCTTCCGACTCTTTCAGTAATTCGCTGGAGTAGTAGTATTGATTAGCCCAATTCAAGGGTTCAACGGGAAGTTTTTGTGCTGTACTACTCCCCGGAATGTCGATGGGACGACGTCTTTGCAATGTCTGTTCTTCCTCCTSTTCTGTCTCTTCTTCTTCTTCTATGCTCTTCAACTCTTCTTCCAACTCTCTCTCCATCTTCTCTTTCATCTTCTTCCTTGCATCTTCTTCTTTCTGTTTCTTCTTTGCTTCCTTTTCTTTTTTCTTTTCTGCTAGCCTGCGGTCAATTTCGGCTTGCTCCGCAGGTGTGGGGCCAGACTTCACTGTCCCTGACCTCGTCAGCATGCGGGACGTGCACACACGTCCGAACCCCAGTGGGAACATCAGCCTGAACAGGAGCCCCAATAATACAGAAAGGGCCAACACGCCCTGGATGGGATAGTCGTCCATGATGACTGCCGGCACAGGAGATCCTCCGCCGGGTCACCAAGGTACTATCCCACTTACCGACTTGGTCTTGACTTGCGGTAATGGAGTACTTATATCTTCCCTTTTCCCCCTTTTTTTTTTTTGTTTTAACGGTAGGAGGTGCTGCGTACAATCAACAATAGATTAAGCTGATATATATATATATATCGTCACAAATAGAACTGCCCGGTAAACCTTAAGCTGATATATATATATATATCGTCACAAATAGAACTGCCCGGTAAACCGTAGGCAGAGAGAGAGAAGAGGACAACA